CTCTCACGAGCAAATACAGCGGACGTTATTAACCCTTTCGCTGAGGAAGCCGTATATATACGCCTCCAAAAAGTAGCCTCTTGTTTGCAAAATAGCATATACATACGGCCTGAAAAACCGCGTGCATGCGACAGTGCAGAATCTACACGCATATATGTCGAAATAGTCCACGATTGGAAGTTTATCTAATTTTTTTTGCATTTTTCATTTTTTATCACAACATAACTATCTCGACACTAATTTCATTTATCATGACTGCAGGTACGCATTATTTTGGGCACCGAATATTTAAATATTTTGTGCACTTTTGGTTGTGGTTCGGCATCGATTCAGTAACTTTATTGATACAAAAAAAAATTCACAAAGAAACAAGATGCACAAAATTTTGTTATTTTTTTTATTTAAAATGCGCCATATTGGTTTTTGGAATCATTATTATGCAATTCTGACTGCACCAATCGAAAGAGCGATCTCAAAAATATTAGAATATGTATGTTTGAAATTTTTTATGTCAATTTTTTTCTGCAGAAAATATGTCTCAAACATCGTATGAAAATTGTGCTCTTCCCGGACTTAATGGGTTAAATTAGTCACGTCTTGATTCTGACAGCGCGTTGCATGGACTGAAACGCGATTATTAGACGGTTCTCAATTAAAACCGCAGCAAAAGGGTTAAATTGAGCACATGTTTCGGTACGATCAATCGTCGTCGTCTTCGTCATCGTTTCTCGTCTTAGAGATGTAACACACCTTGATCGTGGCTGAAATGATTTTGGTGATGATGATGGTAGTAGTGGTGGTGTTGGGTGCCTGACGACGCAAAGACGTCGTCCTGCATCGTCAGACCCGTCAAATCGACTATCTCGTCCGCCTCCTCGTCACTGTCGCCGCTTTCTGTAGACTGACGGCTACCGGATGATAATTGGCTGTTACGTGAGAATGAGCCGCGACGAGGTGCGGCCAATGCCGCCCTTTGATTCGCCAGTTTGACGGTTATGATGAGATTGGACGAATTCGCTATCATCATATCCTTCACCTATTCTCATACGAATGCATAGCGTTTAAAAAAATAAAAAAGAATTAAACACGAAGACGCGATTATATTAAGGCAGTTGATCCGTGACAGTATTGTTAGAAAGGCAATGGTTAATGCAACATGAAGAAGCTCGACATCTGAAATAAATGTTTCATACACATATGTCTTTTTTATCGTTTCCTGGCTTTTCATTAAAACTGGAAGAATAACTTAATTGTTGGAATTAAAAACGTGATATTGGAAACTGTTTTCATATTTATGATACGTATAGTGTTAACTTTGATTTCAGTTATTTCAGCTTCGGCTATGATTAATTTCCTCCCAATCTCACATGTGAGTAGATCGTATTTCGACTTAACATGCTATTAACATTTGAAATGATTCCTAAGAAAATAGATTTACGGACCAACTACCTTAATAACTAATTATAGCGAACAGAAGAAGTCATCTATTTGCCGCGTAGATATTTGATTTGCTCCCTTAGGGTAGGAATGTTTCAAATGAAATGTTATTGACAACATAGACAAAATATGTGATTAATTATACAAAACATTTTATCAGTTCGGAAAGAGATAAATCTTATCTCCACTTTTTGATTTCAAAGTGCAATCTCAACATAGGTATGTAAGAAACACATAATAAATGTACAATTTCATTTTATCAATATGGAATTTTACCAATAACATATCATGGTGTGACTAAACGTTTTCTCAGGATTACTCACCTGATCGAGCGTTTTTCCAGCAACCTCTATACCATTCACTTCCAAGACCTCGTCATTGACAGCTAAAAGACCCGTGCTTTCTGCCAAACCACCAAGTACCAGTCTGCTGATAAAAACGCCTGGAACCTTCTCGATTCCGCCGCCAGCAGATGACGGTAATCTGCGGAAGCTTTCGCCATCCTTGATATAAAATCCCAGAGGTTTGTCTGAGCCATGCTTTAAGA